TTTGTTAAATTTTTGGTTTGTTTGGTAACGTAAAGTAATTTAAGCGCAAATAGATTTTTAGAAGCACTTTATCGCTCCGATTTTTTATTCTACTTCTACTATTTATTATTTTTAGGAGCTGCCTCAGTTTATTTTAAGATAGCTAGGTAACATAACCATTCTGTTACCTCGTGGGTTAATTTTATCGAAAATAGCATTGGAATAGAAAAAAATGGAAATATTATTGGACCCTAACAAATTAATCGATGTTTTGTACAGTATTTTCAACAACAAGTTCTTTTGGAACAGTGTCATTAATCTCCACTGACATGGGTGTCTCTGACTGACTCACCAAGCTAGTCCGGAAAAATGCAATATTTTCACCATTCCAAAACTCTTGCTATAAGTATGTGTGTTTATAAAAAATGTGTGCAAGCGCATGTCGATGCATAATAGTTTTAGGAAGAGTTATTACGTGTTAACGTAAAGATCAGATTATGCATAGATTTGTAAAGAGAAATCAGAAGATCATAAATATATATGAGATATATTTATGATCTTCTGATAGCATATTTTCGATCTTAGAATTTATGATCATCTAACTGATTTAGGCGATTATTTATTTTGTTGCATTATGCGGATGTACTCTTGAAACAAAAGAAAAAAAATTAGGTTTCATTGAGTTTTTCAAAGGGTACCTAAAGTAACTTTATTTCGTCTATATATACATATTCTATCAGTCACGTTGAGAGTGGAGAGCTTTGGCTGAACTCTATCGGTTCTTGTCATGAGTTACAAGATAATTCTTGATAATTTTTTTTTGTTATTCCAAATATAAAGTGTCAAGCTGTTCTATAGTAAGTACCATAGATTACTTCTTTACCAAGAGAAAGCAAAATATGAATGAGAAATTCATTTTCAATCTTAAATTTAAAATTAATGATCCTATGCTATCTATATGAATTTTTTTATGTCATACAATGAATTCTTTTCATTAAGATTGACATCGAGAACACTCTCATTACAGTTAAAGAAGTTAATTTGAAATTAAAAACATATTTCACTTCAAGGAATTTATTAATTACTGTTATGTTAATTAAATGAGATGGAAATAACTTTATGCGACATTTCCAATTACTGCGTTCTTTAGTCGTTTCTGTTTGCATCAGCAATTCCGCAAAGTGAATTATTGCGCTTTACTCCAGCTTCCCTTCAGTAAATCAATAGATGTTCCGAGAACTTTGTTAATTGCTCTATGAGTAGTTTGAACTTTTGTTTAGATTTCAAAGGTAAATGCATAATCTTATTAAATATTCCTAACTGCATTTCATTGTACCGCCCGACATTGTGCCACGTACCAACCTTACTTCCAATTAAACTAGAAATATACGTATTATTCAAAAGTTATAAACGTTGATGCCGTGTTCTATTTTTTTTTAATTTTATAAGATAATATCATCTTTATTCGAAAACTATTTACTTATATCGATTCTAGAGTAAAGTAAGAAAGAAATGTATCATGTAAAAATTAATTTATTAAGTACGTTCTCAGTCCAATTTATTGTGATTATATGACAATTGCTAATAACAATGCACAAATATTATGTAATTAAGATTTTTAGGTATCATATTCGTAACTCCATATTAAGTCATATGCCGAATTAAAATAAGATTTGTCTGTCAAAGCGAAGCCTCGACTGTTATAAATAGCTTAAGTAAACCGTGAAATTATTGACTTATCACTAAAGGAGAATTGCGAAAAATATTAATATTATAATTTCTTTACACTTCAATTTACTAAACGCTTCTCCAAGTTTGAAAAAAATCTTTATTTTAAAGAACTGAATAGACGTAAAATATATATTGTACAGGTCGGCTGTTAATTTAATTCTTATTTTTAATTTCAGGTCTATTTAATAACCTCTGTGATTTTTTTTTTACCATATTTATATATACAATTCTTCTGTACGTATTTCACTGAACTCCTCCTAAACGGCTGGGCCGACTTTAATGAAGTTTTTTGTGTGCTTTCAAATCGATTGATTTGAATTGATAAAATGGTTTAAATTCACAATTCGGGACACTACAAGTTATTTTTATTTTTTTATGTATAAGTAGCCGGATTTAATTCGTGTGACGTGGACAACGTCTGTCGGGTCCACTAGTATATTGTAAAATCTAGTCCCAAATTACATAAAGTCTACCCTATTATTATAACATAGCGTTACAATATTTTAAATATATATTTTCATATCATAAATATTTCTATAAGTGCTAAGAATCAAGCTAGAAATAAATAGTAAATAAAGTGGATTTTAAACCTAACGCGTCTGGCAACGATGTTGAATAGAAAAAATACCGACCAAGTACGATTCGGACTCCCACACCACCGTACCATTATCTATAAAAACGGTAAAAACATCATCACAAACAGACAGACAGAAGAGTCTTAGTAATAGGTTTTACCCTTTGGGAACAGAACCTAAAAAAGAAAAATTTTAAATAAACACCTGTCATTCTGGCTGTGAATATCACCCAGAAAGCCATCAGGTACTATAGTACCAAGAAAATAAAATTATGTAAACCGCCACTAGGGAATCATGGCGCATACGCGTAGTGAAAACAAATTCCGTATATCATCAACTAGCGCGTTTTGATTATAAAAATAGCTTCATTAGAGACGATCTTTAGGAAATTATTCAACGAAATAAATTTTACTGGCCACTACTTTCAAGCAGAACACCATAATAAAATTTATAAAGTTTATAATTGTAAGTGCGTTACGTGTGAAGTGATTGTTGACTTAATAAAATATGTCGTAAGTAGATATTTATATACTATTATACATATAAACGACCGGGAAGAATAATCCTACAATATTTTTTTTATAGTTAAGTAGTTTTAGCATTCAAAAGTTGTAATATTTCGCCTCTGAAAAAGTTATTGTTTACGATAGAAACAATGGCTACCGGTTGATATATCAAATACAAAGAAATGTGTGTCTATTTTGACCCAAAACTGTGTGAAAATGAAAGAATAGTTCATAATATGTACTATATTATCAATATACTTTTTTTATATAAATTCAAGTGTTTTCGATACGAATCTATTACTTGAACAATTGTGTTCAATGCTGGGCTCCTGTTGTTCTCAATGGACTTTGACAACAGCGGCGGAGACCATGACATCATCGCGGGTTGTCATGGTATCCGCAATAGTTACCCATACTTACTAATATAATAAGGGTTTGTAGGGATTACTAAACGATCTAAATATTCAGTCAATTAAATAGTGGTGTGTAAACATTAATTTTAGTGAAAGAAACGCCGAAGAAAGTTGCGGGCGTGGCCGTGCAAGAGGACGAGAAAGAGGACGGGATGGTGCCGAGACCTCTGAAGAGTATTTAACTTGTTTTATCATTATTCTTATTTATTTATTTTTTATGTCTGAAGGCAGCAAAGAGCTTTCGGTTCACCGGATGTTGAGTGAACACCGCCGCTCATAGACATTTGCAAAACCCTCGAGATTGCAGATGCGTTGCCACCACGCGTTTAATATAAAGTGGGCCCGGCTCTCTCACTAGGCGAAACGCTAAAGTATAACACTTCCACAGCCACTTCACGCCAGTCTTCTGTGAGGTAGCGGTACTTCCCGAACGGACCTGACCATTCGTACAACCGTGAAGACGGTTGCGTACCACAGTAAAAACTTACAGACTTATGATTTTTTTTATTTCAGGAATAGGTTAAGTCAAATCCGTGCTGAAAAGCAAATAGCACAGCACAGGCATGCGGCGTTGTCGCCTTCCGTCAGGAAAAAAAATTATTTTAAGTTTTAAGTTCAATTAAAAAATTATTTTAAGTTTTAAGTTAATAATAACTTATAAAAAGTGAAATTTTTTAAGTAGCCATTAAAATTACTACGAAAAATATGTTGTTTAATTTTCAAACTTCGTTTGTACGAGACCTTAAAATGGTTGTCATTTTCACTCTCTAGGTACACAAGGTCGCATCTTATCTAACGGGGCGGAGGTCATTTCTTCTAAGCTTTTCTTCATTATTGTAAATAAGTTTTAAAATAATTCTGGTATTGTTGGAAAGGAGATTTAATCAAGTCCATTTTAGTTTTGTTAAACAGGATGTAAAGTCAAAGGGTTTTAGTGAAATAATTGTTTTATTAAGAGATGTCAGTTTTTCAAGTTTCATATATTTTTAAGAGTTGCAAATTAGAATTATAACTCTTGATTTTTATATAATTAGATTGCTTAGTTATTCAGCTTATTAACTGTGATTCGTTTTTTGGGATAGTATTTGTAGTTTGTGAACGGCAAGCGTTTTTATCGCCAAAGTCGGAAGCGGTATTAAGACATTTTATTTGTCGCGCTGACGCTGGCGCCTGGCACCTATTTGACAACGCGTGGCACTGGCGTGCCAGTGGATATAGCTGCGAAAAATGAAATTTTAATAAAGATAACACATTTTTATATTGCACGGCCTTTAAAAATTGTTCCGCTTGACATTATATGACATAATATCCGTTCTTATTCGTTCTATATCATTTTAAAAAAAATTTCATATTCAATATTGTTTTATGCATCGAAGCTTATTTCTATTTTCTTTATTAATTTGTTTTTGGAAGCTGGGAGAATCGAAATATTTCGGTATTATTTTTAATAAAAAATATTTAAATTACTTACTAAAAGTATTACACTTCGTCATATTTAATACCAGCCGATTATAATGAATGTTTTTAACCGACTCCAAAAAGGAGGAGGTTTCTCAATTTGACCGTATTTATATTTTTAACTTCTTTGTTCTGAATCGATTTTGATGATTGTTGAAAAGGATATATCCCAAGGGTGGTACCATGCTAAGGAAACCCGGATCTAATGATGGGATCCCATAGAGTACGAGGGAAATCCTCAAAAGTTGCAGGTATTAACAATGATTTACATGTACCTATTTTCTAAAGCTATTAAGATATTTTGCGTATAGAAAACATCAATTCATGACGCTAAGCTGATGAAGAAAGGTAAAAGGTAAGGAACTTTAAAGGAAGTAAGGTGATTTCTTGATCTAGAATAATGTTTAGAAACTTGTCGAGTACTATAAACTAGAATCATTTTAACCGTCTTTGAGATAAGGAGTAGGTTGTCAATTCGTTGTGTATTTTTTAACAGATTTCAAAAAGGTATACAGTATTTAAAATTTCTTTTTTTGTTCGAAAGGGGTAGAATTAATTTATGTTCGTTCGTAGTATTTATATTATCTTGTATATTACTAAATCTTGATAATTTATTCTTATTTTTATGGGCATACGTAACATTTGCAACTATGTACTGAGAAGCAACAGTCACTATTTTTATTCCTTTAAAGAAGTTTCTTAGCGATGCTTTGGGGCCTAGGTTATAAACTGCTCTTTTGCAGGATGGAGATAGTGTTTATGTCGGCCGCGTTTCCCCAAAGTAGAATGCCATCAGACATTATACTATGAGAATAAGTAAAATAAATCAAAAGAGCCGTAACGTCTTATTTTCTTAACTGCGAAAACCGTTGAGCTAAACCTACTCGCCAGCTTTTTATTATGGGGGCCCCATTACAGTTTAGCATCTATAGTCCATAGTTATGCCAAAAATGTGTTATGTATGTCGCGGATAACTTTGTCGTGTGATGAATCGATTTTGATGATTATTTTTTAGTTGGAGAGGAGATATCTCAAGGATGGGGAAACTCGGATCTGATGATGACATCCGAGAGAAATTGAGAGGGACTTTCGAAATCCGTAGTGGCAACTAGCGAATTTGTTAACTTTTTTCATTAAGTATCTATTTAATGAAGGTCTGGAGTCCATCTGCTGTTGAAGCCGAAAGACAGTCGATGAAACTCTTCATCGATTTACAGCAATTAAATGGTGTTTGGACTTAATTCATTTCTATTGATGACAACTTTGCACCACATATGGGTTATAACTTATAAGTACCATTACAGGTCTGATGATGGAGACCATAGACAGTTGAGGGGATTGCTCAACTATTTACAGCAGTTAAAGTTTTGTTACGCTTGATTCCGTCAATTCTATGATAATAAATAACTACCTACTTAAATTAAACGACACTGTATTCATTTTGAGGGCTTTCGCTTAAAGCGAATTCAAATAGTTTATTCAAATATATAAAATCTGAATCAAAATGGGAAAATCCCAATCTGTCAAGTTCCTTAAAAAGGCAACTGATCTTATTTTCGTAACGGTTACACGAAGTCTCCCGAATCCATGTTGCAGTTGGCTTTATAAAAGTAAAAAATAAAGTATATATATATTTATACAGCATGTATATTTCCCACAAATAGGCAAAGGCCTCCTTTTTATAGATAGTTTTGGGCACACATGGCTATGCAATCCCACTGAGAATTGGAATACTTTTTTCTAGAGCTAACGTATCACGTGCACAGCGATGTAGGCATACATTGTTAGGAAATCTGTATATGTTCGCAATATTAATGATAATAGAAATTTTATATAAAAATAATAATATTATATTGATTTATCTCCCTAGGTCAAATCCCACCCATCAAAGCGGTGGGTGATTACAACGTGACCGAGGCGGTCTTCAACCGCATTTACTCCCCGGTAACTTTGAGCCAGGAATGGTCCAAAGTGGGGCGCTTGCTCCTCATGGTATTATTCTCGACCATTGGGAGCACCATGAATGGATTCTTCGTGTCCGCTTTCTTCGTCGAGCATACTTTGAAGAAGATTGGTAAGTCATAGCTTAACTTCATGACATCTTACATCTCACAGGCATTTTAGAGCAATGGAGAACCTTTTACTGCACACTGCTGTATTAGGTTACAACAATAACTTAAAATTACTGATTTTATTTTTGTAGAAGCCGACCAGTTTTTTTTTTTTTTAATTAACTTGGGCCAAAATTCTTCTCAAATACTGTTGCTTGCCCACGAAGTGACGGATGCTAATGTCCTTTAATAAAATGACAAATAATTATCTTACATATCTTTGAAAGTAGAAAATTCAACGGCTAAGATCAGTTTAGTAAAATAAATAATTATATATAAATCACTATACTATTCTTAATTTGTAATTTCTAAATACATTAAAGAAATTCAGTAGAAAAGAGCATAGAGTATAGAAGAGCATCAGTCATTTGGAGCGCTATTTATGCACATACATTACTTATATTTGACTCGTCTGCCTCCGGGAAACCGCTAACGTTGATTGATCTCTATCTTATGCTCAGCATATATTCTCGCACTGATATCTTTCTATTTAAAATAAAACTGTTGCTATAAAACTCGTCAAGATACATTTTCATAGATTTACTCTTAAGCACATAACATCTTTCCCCTATATGAACATTTTGACGGATAGCCATACAATACTTATGAAAGAAAATAATCAGTTATTATCTAAGTACAGTAATAATATTATAAAGAGGAAAGATTTGTATTTTGGTATGTAATGAATAAACTTAAAACTACTGGACCGATTTCAAAAATTCTTTGACTAATAGAAAGCTCCAACTTTACCGAGTAATATAGGGTATATATTACATTACATTTATATTATATTACATTTTCTGAAAAATTTGAGGTCGCTACCTAAAATGAAATAATGTAACCCGAGGTATCAAAATGTTCCCTATAAAAACATTATTTCGCGTGCGTAGTGAAAACTATTAACTATATATGAAATATTGTTATACATATTAATAGTTCTCATGATTACTCACAAAAAGGTGCATGATAGTGTATGCCTAACTATTATAGTTAAGCCAAAATAACAGATTTTGTTTAAATTATTAAGTTGAACTATGGGTGGAATCGAATAGTGGGGATATTGGTATCATGATATCAATACTTATCCATTTGAATGGTTTAATATAAAAAAATAGTATTTAAATCTTAGACTTAAATAGTAATTTAAGTCTAAAATAAAGTATGAAATATATCGGTGCATAGTAATCAAAAGTCACCCTCCACCGCTCCACTCAGGTATAATAGTATTTGTTCTGCAGTCGACCGGGCATCGTCCAATAAGTCTTCTCAAAACTTTTGGGAAGATCTTTGAAAGACTAATATTAGCCCGGCTAGGATCCCTTATGGACACTAAAGGGCTCCCCATCCCAGAACAGTTTGGAGTTAGAGCCAAACATTCATGTACCCACTAAGTGCACCGCATTACGAAGCACATTCTAGCCAAACGCCAACGCGGACTCAACACCGGAGCACTCTTCCTAGACGTGGCAAAGGCCTTCGATAAAGTCTGGCACAACGGGCTCGTATACAAGATATACGGGTACAGAGTGCCCGATCGTCTCGTATGCTTAATACGAGACTTCCTGAGTAATCGGACCTTCCGCTATCGCGTCGAGGGCGTGTGTTCGACAACGCACCCCGTTCGAGCCGGGGTGCCCCAAGGGTCGGTGTCGGGCCCACTCTTGTTTACGCTCTACTAATGACATGCCGCGTGTCAAAGATGTAGAATTCGCCCTTTTTGCCGACGGCACCTGTCTCTATACCACAGGCAGAACAACCGAATTGATTCACTAGACGCCTTTAAGCTGCAGCCATCACCATCGGTGACTGGTTTCGGCAATGGAGGATCGAGATCAATCCCGTCCTTTTTTCACACAAAAACGTACCTAAACCACCCCCCGTTAAATAAATAAATATTTAGGTGAAATCCTCGACTCCCAAGTTAAATTCAGCCAGCACGTGACTCGGGTTAAGAACCGGTTGGCCTTCGTACTCGATCGCCTCAATCCGCTCATCAACAAAGAGTCAAATATGTCCCTTCGGAACAAGGTGACCCTATATAAAGCAGTAGTTCGCCCTATGACGTACGCGAGTCCGGTTTTCGCACACATTGCTCCGAAGTAAATACACCGGCTTCAGGTCATTCAAAATCGATTCTTGCGCAGAGCTACGGAGTACCCTGGTTCATGCGCGATATCGACCTACATGTCGATATAGAGTTGCCCACCATCGATCAGTTCCTGAAGTCGGCGGCGCGCCGATACTTCGAATCCGCCGCCGCGCATCCCAACCCGTTAATCGTAGGAACCGCCACCAACAGACTCACGCCGCTAGGTACGTTCCGCCGCAATCACCGTAGACCGCGACACGTTCTCGACTTTCCTGAAGATGAGATGACTATCGCCATCGAAAGGAACAAAAAACTACGCAATCACACCAATACACACCGCACTTGTTGGCGAGTGCCGCAAACACATACTAGGTTCCGCCACGTACCTGGCAAGTTCTCCCCAATTAATGATAGAAGCGTTGCTGGAGTTTCTTCCGCCGCTTCTTCTCCCAGCGCCAACGATTTATGAAGTGGTAGTAACGATAGTTCTACAAATTCCCCCAGCCAGGTAACAGCTACCGATCGAGCTGAGGTCCTGCCCTCTCGCGCACCCTTGAATCGGAATGCTAAACGCATTTTGAGTGACAGCCCAAGCCAATGGCCCCTTTTGGGGACCTTTGAGCCTCACTTTGAGTCACTCGATGGAGCGTCCGCCAAAGCGCCCTAAGAGCTCGGCGGCCTCCCAAATCGATTAAAATAATAGCGTGACGGCCCGAGCCGAGGCTCCCTTGGGAGCCCTCGAGCTTAGTCACCATAACGTCGTACTAATAATACGCCGAGGTTCTGGCTCGGCGCCCCGAGCGCCCGGCCACCTCATGCCCATCGGATCTATAAAGGCCCCTAAGGCCAACAGTGGCTCATCCAGCTAAAAAAAAATGTCAAGCGGGCATTAATTGTGTAGCTCTTGAAGTGTTATAGTTATCAGATTTTAGACAGTAGTATCAACGCAACGTCGACCAGCATAGCGACTCCCGACGGTTTGCATTTCAAAGACCTTATTAAACGGTTCCTCCGAAACAAGGCTTTAGAAAAAAAATACGGACGCGAGAATAACCGTCCGATTCAACTTTGTTACAGGAAGACCTGAACCGTGTCGAGGCTTGGTGTAACAAAAATCAGTTGGACTTAAACATCTCTAAGTGCTTTGTCATGCCTTTTTTCCAGAAAACTTGGATTACAAATACTTTGTCAGAAAACCAGGAACTGTCAAGGGTCGATCACATAAGAGACTTGGGTGTGTTGCTCGATAGTAAAATACGATATAATCACCACATTGACAACACTTGTTCCAAAGGTTTTAAAAATCTCGGTTTCGTTCTACGAAATACCAGAAAATTCAGCCACAAGATCAAGATCTTATTGTACAATGCTCTCGTACGCAGTGGCTTAGAGCAAGGATGCGCAACGCGCGGCCTGCGGGCCGCTTGCGGCCCCTTAAACTTGAAATATATTGTTAATACAGTGTTCACATATTGTTATAAAATTAATTATAATAAAATGGTAGTACATACTGAACCGAAATATTTTTTGTTCGTTTTTCTGTTCTTTTCTTGTTTGTTTTTACCTTAACTTCAAATTTGTATATGAAATCTTTACTTTTTTAATTTTATATTTTTTTATTCTAATATTTATTTTAAATAAAGTTTCGTAAATTATTATGTGCGACCCGCCAAAAAAAATTTAAATTTAAATTGGCCCGTTGATTAAAAAGGTTGCTCACCCCTGGCTTAGAGTATAGTTGCGTCTTTTGGAATCCAAAAGTACAATGTTTACGTGAAAGCGTCCAAAAAAGGTTTCTGTGGCACCTGGCATACTCATGCAATTTGGGGAAAAACTTTAAGCCATACCCCTATAGACTAAAACATTTTGGAATGAGTTCCCTGAGCGATAGAAGGAAAATGCTTGAATTTCTCTTCTTGCATAAGCTTGCCAATGGCATTATCGATGCTCCTGACCTGCTGCCCCTCTTAAACTTTACCATTCCCTCGAAGCTGCCTCGACCCTCTAGATTCTCTAGAGACTGTTTATGCAAATCCAACCTTGGACAGCAAGCGCCTTTAAACAGAATGGTTAGAAATTACAATAACATCTCGAGAACTTCCAGGACTGACTTGTTTTCAGATAGCATCACCAAGCTAAAGAAAGAATTGCCGAAATTGTTTTCCGAAAATGCCTAATTACTTTTACAATCACATATTCTTTTTATTAAATTTTAACTGTTTACGTCCGTTTTATTGCCAAGCAGAATTCTTGTTCTCCCCGCTAACTTGTAAAAACTTGAAATAGTCTTATTAGTGTGTTTTTTTACTGTCGCTTTCATTCTCAATAATTTTATAATTATTAACTGTTGTTGCACCTTTGGATTTTGTAACAAACAGATTATTTTTTTTAACAATTTTTTTCTACCATAATATTGCATGCTGTCAGCGCCTATAATTGTAATGACAGTAACGAATAGTTGATGTATATTTAATTTCTTACTCATAAATAGTGTACATTATGTTGGCGTTCATTAAATAAATAAATAAATATACGTCACAGTGGTGGCATTCCGCTATGGGCTCCCTCCCTTCAACACGAAACAGATACCTCCCGAAACACCAGTGTCCCGAGAGGACCTGAGTCACACGATAGGTAAGGGTGCCGTGTCGCCTATCCAGCCACCTCTTTAGGACAGCACTCGGGTGCTCCAGCCTCTGCTCCCAGTCTTCGAAGACATTTGTGCGCAGGCGATCCCTGTGCTCTGGCGAATGGCCCTGGGATTTGACCTCCTCACGCCAAAAGTGCGATGACGCAAAAGGATCTTCGCTTCTAAATCAGTTCTAGGTTAGGAAGCCGGCCCACAGGCAAGCCGGAGATCGTCCGGTAGCCCCG